TTATATATATATATATATATATATATGAAAAATAAAATGTCATAATAAATTATATTTTCTATATTTAACATGCAAAATCAAACTATTTTTGTATTTTTAATATTAAAGGAATTATATATATTATATATAATATTATAAAATTTTATAAATTTATCTCAAAATTAATTTATTATCTACATATATCTTAAAAATGATTTTGTGTTATATATATCATAAAAAATTATAAAATAATTTTTATTTAATAAAAGTAATTTATTAAAATTTTATAAATAATATTAATAATGTAATATAATATAAATAATATTTTATCATATATATTTTAGATAATTTAAAGAAATTTGTTCATAATTTTTTACTTTCATTGGAATAAAAAATATTAATTTCAAGGTTAGTTGTCACATATATAATAATCTCTTCTGTAATTATAAAATATTTTATTTCTTTATATTTTTCATTTTCATTATCTATTATGTAAGAGAAAAAAAGTTTTGAAGTTATAAAAGATATTCAAATTTAAATATTAATGTAAATGTAAAAAATATAAATGTTATTTTTATTTAATATTATATAATATTATATAATATATTTTTGCATTTAATATTATTATGATTCTACTAAAAATATTTAAAAATATAATCTTAACAAATCTTTTGTACTATTAAAATTAATCTTATTTTAAATATCATGTTATTCTTATAAAATTAATTAAATAATCATGTCTTCAAATTTTCTTTTTTCTTTCTTAATCAGAAATTTAATATTATGATAATACAAAAATAATATAATTCAATTATTCCATGATATTTAATAAAGAATATTATATTAATGAATTATATATTTGTATAAAGGGATTTAATTCTAGAAATGTATAGAAAATCTATTTATTTTTATTTTTTCTTATATTCACATTTTATATTTTTTCTTCAACATAGAATTGTACACAAAAAAACATATTTTATTTTTATGTTTCATTGAAGAATTGAATGTTATATATAATGTTACATATAAGAAAATTGATAGAATTTTATGAAAATATTATAAATATAAGAAAAATGCAAAATATACATATATTTTTCTTTTCATAATTTCTGCTTCTCTTTTTTGGCTTGTTCAGCAAGTGCTTCTAATCGATCGTGTTCTGCAATCAAAGCATCTACTTCACTCATAGGAAGAATTCTTGTAATAGTTTTACCATTTTCTCTTGTTAAAGTAACCATTTCCACTAAAATGAAAAAAAATATAATTAAAAAATTACAAATAAAATATTTTTTTGTTGTATCTTTCTTTTAATTGAAATTAATTATAATTTTACTTAAATAAAATTATATTTAAATTTTATACTCTTACCTTTGTCTCCAGATAATTTATTAAGATCTAGAGTTTTAGAAAGTACTTTTATAGCTAATGCTTTGGCTTCCTCTAAAGTAATATTATTATTATCATATTCCTGTTTTAATGATGATACTGCAGCAGCAGAATTATGTCCAATACAAGTTGCTTTCCAGCCTCCATAATTTCCACTAGGATCTGATTGATATAATTGATATCCATAATGTTTATCCCATCCCATATACAGAATAGAAACACCAAAAGGTCTCTTTCCACCATATTGTGTATATGCTTGTTTTACATCACAAAGCCAAGAAACAAGTTGTTCACAAGGAATTGGTTCTCCATATTGTAATAAATAACGTTGTGCAATTAAACGCAATTCATTTGTTAATACATTAGCATCAGAAGTAATACCAGCAACAGAGCAAACAATATCATCATTGAGTTTATAAATTTTTTCAGAATAATATACTTCATCTAATAATTTATTTATATTGCGTCTTTCTGCTACAAGTAGAATACCATTAGTTGCTAAAATACCAAGGCAAGTACCTGCATGACTTATAGCTTCCATTGCATATTCTACTTGATAAAGACGACCTTCAGGAGAAAATATTGTTGTGCGCGTATCATATCTACGTGCCTGTTAGCAAAAACCACATCAAATATACATTAAATATATTGATATTATTTTTTAATATTTTATTATACTAATTTTATTTTATTATATTATTTAATTTTATAATACTCATTATTAATTCCTTATAATTTTTATAATAACATTAAAATATAATATTTGTTTTATTAGAGTTTATGAATTTTATTATTGAAATAAAATACTCAATATTAATATATTTTAGAATTATATAATTTATTTATATACAATATGAGTTATTTAGATTTATATAGATTTTTATTAAACTTAATTTTATCAATATATTTGTAAATATATTTTTAAACGTTATAAAAATTTATATAGTCAATATTTTTATATTCAATATAAAAATAATATGAAAAAAAAAATTTTTTTCTAACTATAATGTAAATAAAATAAAATTCATTAATTTTGAAATAATAACTATTTATTTTTTACACAAAAAATAATGATTAAACTCACATGATGCAATTAATATATAAATAATGTATAAATTCTTATTATATTTATTTAACTATAAATTAAATAAATGTATTAAATAAGTCTGTGTATATAATTTATTTGAAATATAATGTTATTTTATTACTATTATTTAAGGAATTATTAGTGAATGACAATGCAATTTTTCAATTATAATTTTAATAAAAAAAATAATTAAAAAATAAATGATGCTCATAATAGTAATATTGAATTAATTATTAAATTAATTATTTATATTTACCATTATGAAAAATCTTTATTGTAGCAATAATAATGCTATAAGAGATAAAATTGAAAAAAATGACACTTGCAATTAAAAGTAATTTATATAAGACTATTTTTTGAAAGATTTCTGAATACAGTAGAGAAATACATAAATGGATGTGTTCCAAAACTGTACAAATTTTCAACATAGGTATGTTCTATTATAAGACATTTATTAAGGTTTGTAAATTATTATGTACAATCAAATACTATTAATTTTATTAACATTAAATATTAATAGATAATTTAATTAAATATTGAATATTGAATATTGAATTAAATAGTATTTTTAATTTGTAGAGATATTGAATGGAAAAATTTATATTCTTAACAATTGATTAAAATTGTAAAATTTAATTATAACAATCATTGTTTAAGATTAAATTTATTTATTTAAAATTATTTCATTTATTTAAAATATTAAAGAATTTAAACTTAAAATTAATCATTATATTTATTTCAATTATAAACTATATCATTTAAACAAAACTTAGTTATAGAAATATGAATTATTAGTATGAATAATATAAATATATTGTAATTTTTCTTATAAGAAATTATTGCGATCTATTTATCCAATTTTCTCAATAATTAAAATGGCACAAAATTTAAATATGAACAATAAAAAGTTTGGCATTAAAATTCATATAAATTAAAATTGGAAAAGTTTCGTAATCGATATTCACTATAAATAATAATAATAAATTGCAATAATAGTCAATCCTATTAAATATAATTTTATTAATGATTCTTATAGAAAAATTGAATAGAAAAATGAATAGAAAAATTTTATTTTTTTTAAATAATTTTTTTGCATTTTCTACATATACTATCATTTTTTGACATTTTTTTTATTCCTTAACATTGATTTTGAAATACTAAAAAATATATATTATATATTTATATATAAAATATATATATATTTCTGTGCTATTATGTAAATTCCAATTATAATTTAAAATATTTTTTTTATGTATTATTCTAATATATTTTTAAATAAAATAAAATAAATAAAAAATGATTAATAAGTACATGCTAGGAAAAAAAATTATTTTTTACATAATTTAAATACAATCGATTTCAACTATTAGTATCCATTATTATTATAATCAGTATCGATATTGATTTGATTTATTGATTTCAAAATTAAATGAAACCATATTTTGTATATTCAAAATTATTCAAACGGAGCAAATTTATTTAAAATGAAGTTCTATTAAAAGTTCTATTTAAAAAAATATTGTTGTTTATTTTTTTATTATTTTATATACCATCATAATTTATAATATTATTATAATATTATATAATATTATTATTTGTATAAAAGTCTTATTTAAAAAAAATATTATTGTTTATTTTTTATTTATTTTTATATGTACCATCATATTCGTAATATTATTATGATATTATATATTTATTATTTATATATATTATTATTATACAATTTATATATATATTAGATGGGAATTTTAATTTTATTCTATATCAATTGTTTAATATTATATGAATAAAAATATTCATAAATATATTTTTTTAATGTAAATTTATTTAAAAAATATATGTTTAATTATTATTTTAAGTAATTATTTTTTTATAATATTTATAAAATAATTATAATTAAATAATTATAATATAAGAAATATAAGAGCAGTGATGAAGAACAAACAGGATTTTTAAAAAAAAATTACTAGGATAAGGAATAAAATGGTCGACAATGAAGTATAAAATAATAAAATGAGTGCATATCATGCATATCATGTGATTTCATCGAACGAATTATCATTGTGGCGAGTTTTTCGTTATATATATATTTTTTATCATTGCCGACATTTTGTTTCTGCTGGCAATCAAAATTACGATGTAAAATCTGGTTATTGAAAAAAAAATAGTAATAGAACTTAGAAATAGAATTGCGAAGAGCAATGAATATTCTATTATATATTGTTTGATGAGATCCTCTCTATCTTACTCTAACAGTACATAAAAATAGAACCATTATTTTTTTCTTCTTTTCTTAAGTTTCATTAATTACTATGAGTTTCTTTCATTTTTTTAATAGTCGTACTTCGGTAATGCTGCTGACAACTCAGTTTAGAGGTTTGGATTGCTAATCAAAAATTTTAGGATTGAATTTTGAATGGATTTTTTCACATTTTTTTTTCGCATTTATAATAATAATTATAAATAAATTTATTGCACATTAGAAATAATTTGTCACTATAAAAAAAATAATTTATATCATTATAGTAAATGCAATTTTTTTAACCTGTTTTATTGATCATATTTTTATTCATATTCATTAATAACAAAAATATAATAAAAACACAATATAATAACAAATCAAGTATGTAAAAACAAAAAATCACATATTGTTGTTTAATAATTATAAAAAAAAATTTGTGAAAACTATACATATGTAGTTTCATTAATTCTTTTAACTATTTGTTATTGATTCAAATATAAGTATATATTTGAAAGGTTTAAGGAAAAATAGAATAGGAAAAAAAATTATAAGCAAATTAACATTGTTAAGATATTCTTACGTATTGTTAAGTAAGCATTGTTAAAGTATTTTCTAATCTTCATCATAACCATAGACATGAGAATTTCCATTATCTTCCAATTTTATTTTATTCAAAAAAGAGTTATAAGCTATAGTGAATCCTCTTCCAGTACTAATTTTCATTCCTTCTGTAAAAATATTTGCTGCTATTCTTGATTTTAAATAAATGCTATTTTGAGATTCAATTTTATTTTGTTTATGCAAGTTTAATTGAAGATTATTATTTTTTCCATAGTTTGTTTGCATTTCAGAATTATTTTTTCGAGAAATACATACCTTTGTTTTAAAATCAGTCTTCACTTCTAAAATATTTTTTTTAATCTTAGAAATATTTTGAGATGATATAGCTATATTACTTTCTTCTTCAGAAATATTTTCTTTTTCTTCTTCGTCAGAAATATTTTTCAAAATTAAATTTTCTTTTTTTGATAAACTACTATCTATATCTATAGAAATTCTATTTAATTTAGAAATGTTTTGAGATAATGTAACTACATTGTTTTTTTCTTCAAAAACATTTTTTTTTTCTTCTTCGTCAAAAATACTTTTCAAAATTAAATTTTCTTTTTTTGAAGAATTATTACCTATTTCTACAGAAATTTTGTTACCTTAGATATGTTTTGAAATGATGTTTGAAATGATGCAGCTACATTATTTCCTTCTTTAGAAATATTTTCTTTTTCTTCTTCATCAGAAATATTTTTTGAAATTAAATTCTCTTTTTTTGAAGAATTATAGCTATTATCTATATCTATAGAAACTTTATTTAGTTTAGAAATAAGATAATTAGTAAGATCTTGATTACATAATATTGCCTTAGGTAATTGTTTAGGAGCTTTTAATGGTTCATCAAAGTCAGTTTTCTGTTTTATAATACTTATTTTACTATCATCATTGCTTATGTTACTATTATTTTCAAGAAACAATATTCTATCTCTTTCAAGTTGCCGAAATTCTTTTTTTTCTGATCTTGACATAGCAATTGGTAATCTAATTATATTTTTATCTTCTGTTTGTTTTACTGGATTATATGTTGGATTATTTCCAGACCAGTCTTCGTTAGATATATTTGGTTGTACATTACATGCATCTTCTAATGAAATTATTCCAATATCTTGCTCATCTTGCCCAAGTACATATTGCTCACATATTACATTTGCTCTAGATGTACACATTGAAAGATGATGCTATAAAAAAAGAAAAATTTTTTAATTCTTAAATATGAAATTCAATTATATTGATTGAAAAACTATCTAACTAAACTATCTTAAAATATATTTAATTTAATTTACCTCATATTCTTCTGGTTCTAATAAATGTGATGAATTAAATTCACAATTAATTTTAGTATCTTTAATACATTTTTCATATTGTTTACTACATTTTGTGAGGTGTATTTGAAAGCGAGACTTTAAAATTCGATGTGATTTGTTATATGGGCATGTAACATAAGCCTCAAAGTCATTCATTTTTCTATAAAAAATAGAATAAGAACAAAAAAAGTAAAATATATATTTTTAAATATGCATTTTTTAATACTAATATTTTAAATTTTATACTTTGTCTTTTATATTTTCTTCTGTCATTAAACTAATTTACAAAATAACTTATAAAAATACTAAAAGATATAAAATTTTATATAATGATTCATGTTAAAAAAATCAGAACTAAAAAAATTAATCAGAAAATCAAAATCGAGTTTTTATATTAACAACGAAATTTATTTATATTCAAATATGTAAAAGATTTGTATTTTCTAAATCTTACATTTCAAATTAACATAAAATATTGTTTGTGTCAATATTCTTGTGATAATTACAATTATTTAAAAATTCATAGTCAATAATATTCTATACTTATAATTTATTCATTGTATTAAATCGCACATAATTCACACAATTCGCACAACCATTAGAACTTGTACAGATATTGCGGCACAAATATTTACATCATATATATACAATAGTTAACAGAATGTTTCAATAACGTCCTAAAAGAAAAAAAAAATTATTTAAATTTGTAACTAACTTATATATGTATCTCTTATCAAATATAAAACAATTTATATATACCTTATTAAATATTATAGTTCAAATAACTTATCTAGATTTAAGAATTTTAATTAAATTTATTTATTAAATTTCTATCAAATTACATAAAAAATAGATCTTATGATTACATAAAATATTTTATTTTACTATTACTTTTAAATATCAATTTAATTGAATTTTAAATATTTTTAAAGCAAATCATATTGTGATAAAATATTGTAACAATATTTAATAACAACAAATATTACATATTAATTTTATAAAATTTAGGTTTTTAATAAAATGAATAAAATAAATAAATGAAAGTAATAAATAATTATTATAATATTAATAAATAATCAATAAATAATTATAAAAAATAAATTTCTACGTGTTTTAGAATTTATAACCTTATCATTGAAGTTTTTTTTTATTTTACAAAAAAAGAAAAAATAAGTAATAGTAATCTCCTTTTTTTAAGTAAATCTTTTTTTACTAAAAATTATTCGATTATTATTATACATATTCATTATTTTTACAATATTTATTTTCATCATAAAAATTAAGAAAGCAATAGTTATTTACTTTAAATAATTTTGTTTGATATTCGTTTGAACATGGAGTATCCAATCTTGAACGTATGTAATTTGAGTTTCACCACCACTATCTTGCAAAAAAGGCACACGCTTTCCTCGCGCAGTATGGCTCGCTTGATTCCAGTCGTGATCTGTTCGACCACGTTAGTTCGAAGAGATTTTGTTTCATTTATAAACGAAATCGTGTGCAAATAATCCAAAATACACCATGGATGATGAGTGGGGTATGTGTAAATTAATTTTTCGTCATTTAATTATTAAGTGGCTCCATGTTTTCTCGAAACTATGAAACCATTTTAACCTTCAACTTTACAGATGTCGAAAACGCTGAAGCGAAATTCGACCTCGCTATTAGATCCAACAAGTGGGAGGGTGAAGACGAAGACGAAGATGTCAAGGTTCTGTCTTACTGACTTTCCATTTTAATTTTGCATAAATTGTTTAAAATATGTTATTATATGACAAATCATAAGTATGGTTAACCTTTCATAAAACTAATCAACGTGAGTCGAATAACGTGATAATTGATTATTGTTGATTGGTTATTGTCTTTGAATCTAAATTGATTAATAATTAATACAGATAAAATGGAATTGTAATTATTTTTTTATAATTAGTAATTATTAGTTTTTAATTTATTATGTTATGTAGTTATTATTATTAATATTTTACGTATAATTGTAAATCGAATTTTATACATTGAAAAATTGATTAAATTTATTTTAATTTTAAAATAACATCATAAATATATGCATAGTATTTAAATAGTATAATATAATTGTTAATTAATTAATTAATTTTATAAAATAAAATAAAATTTAATTGCAATATTTAAAATCATAAAATTTAAATTTAAATTATTTTAATAATTAATTTAATAATTAATTAATCCTTATAAGATTAAAATACATTAAGTATTTTATATAATACATTAAATATATTAAAAAGGATTAAATGTTTGTACAATAATTTAAAAAAAATGAATTAACAGGATAGTTGGGAAGATGTTGAAGAAGAAAAGAAAGATGTAGAAAAACCTGCAGAAGTGCCTAAAGCTAAGCCAAAGCCAAAGAAAGCTTTGGCAGAAAGAATTGAAGAACGTGAGGTATTAATTTTTTTTTTTATTAAATTATTTCATTTAATAAAATTATTTGATTTATATTTTTTTGTTTAGTATTCTATTTATATATTCTATATTCATATTCTACTTATACAAATGCAAATTTTGTTGTTTATTCAATTCTTTATTTGAATTTATATTCTGACATATTTTGATATTTATTTTATATAATATCATTATTATATCATTACAAATATCATTAATTTTTTTAATTATAGAAAAAGGCAAGAGCAGAGGCAGAGAGAAAAGCTAAAGAAAAAGAGGAAGCATTAACACCTGAGGAAAGGAGAGCAGAACAATTAAGACGTCAAAGGCTCCAAGAAGAAGCTGATCTACGTCTTGCCATGGAAACTTTCGGTTTGTCCAACCTTGTTGATTTTTCTCATCGCAAGCCGCACAAAACTGAGAAGAAATGACTTCACTAAAAACTTCTACTTATTAACTCTTTGCACTCCTATTTTCATTTGAATAATTTATGAAACTACATAGTCACTTTTCATCAATAATGTGATAAGTTGATAAAAGTATTAAATTTAGTATTTTACTTACAAGAGATTAGAAAGTGTGTATTAATTTATTTTTTAAGTATTTGATTTTGCTATTGCAAATCTATTATCTTTTCTGTAATTTTATATGAAACTGAAAGATAAAAGAAAATTATAGAAAAGTATATTAACCTATAAATTTAAATATAAGTATTTTATTTTTATTTTTATTTTTAAAATTTAAATACAAGTTGCAAAATTTGTAATAATATTTTTTTTATGAATCTTTAACTTTAATATTTAATTCTATTAATTATTTGTAGAAATTAATATTTTTTAAATTGAAAAATTACATTTAAATTTAAATTTTTTAACTTAATTCTATATTTTTATAAATTCATAAATTTTATATTTTTTAAATGCATTTTATTTTTATCATAATTTAAAAAATTTTTTCAAAAATAAATATCAAATATTATAATATTAAATATTTAATAGTTGGAACGCAAAGAGTTGATTTCATATTCATGTCTTAATAAAAGTTTTTATTAATTTTATTTTATTTTAAAGCTTTAATTTTCATAAATTTATATATAGTATATTTGTCAAAATCAAAATATTTACTATGTAACTTTTAAGTACATTCCATCTAGCAAAGTAATTATATACATATAATGTAAATTGTCTAACAGTTTTTTCATTTTTACAAGAATGATATTAAGTATTTTTTTATATAAATTAATATTAGTATATAAAATAATTATAAAAAATTCTGAATCTATATTTAGAGTATATAATTATTTAATCTTAATCTTATTATTGTAAAGATTAATAAAATTCGGGACACATTCAAAGTTTTAAATGTTATACATGTTTATTATTGCAATTGCAATAATTACATGTTAATTATTAATTTTTTTAAATCTTACTTTTTCTAATTTAAATTCAATTAAGAATATTAACTTGATGTCAGGAACTGTACCAGAAGTGTAAATCATGTACTTCATTAATCAGTTAATATAATTTTTGAGGAAAATCCAAAATTGTTATTGTATAAAAAATAAACATTTCTATTTCATGAAAAAATAATGCAGACGTGTCTTATTTATCAACATTGATTTCCTGTACCGTTCCTGATAAATATTTATTCAACAAATTTTAACAATAAATTATATACTAATGATTGATATGATGTATGTTCAATTTTTTTAAAAGATTTAAAAATCTCTATTAATTATAATATAAAAATTTATATAATTCAATTTATAAATCTTTTTGTTTAGAGAATATTTATTTAAAAGTAACATTTTCATATCAATCTTTAAATATTAATCAATTTTTGTATTTTTATTTTATTTTAATTTGAGTAATTAAATTTATATACAAATATTTTTTGTATATAATTATATATTTGTATATTGTATTAATACATTATTTAATTACTTTTTACATTTGTAATCAAAATATAAAAAATATAATAAATATATTAATATATGTTTATATTTATTTTATTAATTCTCTTTTCTATTTTAGGTGTGACTGAAGAATCTGTGTTGAGTTTGGATACCACAGTACCTAACACAAAAGAAGAATTTGAGCAGTATGGAAGTGTACTTACACAAAAGCTGAACCAATTTGCTAAACATTCTGAGTTTCCTCCATTTGGAGAAGAACTTATTAAATCTGTTGCTCTTAATTGTAAGTATATTATAAAAATAAATCATAACATTTACATAATTGTATATATATAATAAAATAAATAATAAATAACATAAATTCTATAGAAATTTAAAAAAAAATTATATTTTAATGATTAATACATTTACTTTTTTATTATAAATGAATATTAAACAAATTAATACATTTTAATAAAACAATTTATATATTATATTTTAATAACAATTTATTATTTAATATATTATATATTTATATTTTTTGATATAATAGTTTTGTATTTAATTATAAAATTTCATTGCTCTTTTTTACAGTACCCTCATCACATTTGAAGAAAGTTAAAACATTGGTCGATAATTTGTTGATTGAAAAGCAAAGAATCGAAAAAGCAGAAAAGGCGAAAAAGAACAAGGGCAAGGGAAAAGCAAAATTGAAAATTGAAGGTGACAACACTCTTTTGAGCGAATACGGCGACTATGTTTACGATGATTACGACGATTTCATGTAGCGACCTTTTCATCTCATATTCTTATTATTCCCTAATTCCTTTTCTAGTCGCCTAAATACACGCAGATGGTTATTAACATTTTTTGAAATTTTATATCCTTTATTCTCTCTTTACATTTAAATTTTCAATCTCTTTATTTTTAAGTATTGGTTAGAGGTTGCAATCTTAAATATTTTTTTCTTAGAATTTCATATTATATATATGTGTGTACACACACACACACACACACACACACACACACACACACACACACACACACCCGGCCAAATAATGTGTATAAGCGAATACAGAGTAAATCCTTATAAAAAAAAATTTTTATTTTTTTATCGAGGCTTCAAAAAAATCAAATTTGAAAATTTTTTTAGTACAAATAAAATTTATTTTCAATTAGATATGAATGAATTATTAATAAAGTTATTTTACGTGAAATAAAATTATTTTACGTAAATATAAGCAAAAAACAGAATAAAATTATATTGTTTAAATTCTTTTTTTTTAATTTAAAAATTAAGAAATCGTATAATTAACAAATTAGTTTCTTCGAAAACTAATTTAAAGATTATTATAAAATTAATTTACATTTTTTGCATATTTTTATATAATAATATATTAAAATAAACTTTTTATTAATAATTTATTTGAATCTAATTGGAAATTAATCAATTTCACTTATATTCAAAAAATTTTCAAACTCGATTTTGTTGAAAACGAATAAAAATCTCGAATAAAAAAATTTTATTCTATTTTTTTTTATAAAGAATCATCCTACTTGTATATATTATTTGACCAGATCATATATATATATACATATATGTATATATACATATCATTATGTATGTTTATATATATGTTATATGTAGTATATATATGTTATATATATACGTATATATATAAAACGTTAAAAAATACAATAATAATAACAATTTTAACATAGAATTTTAAAGAAAACTTAGAATTAGAGAAATACTTATTCTATTGATTTAAACTATTAATAATTTGAAAAAGTCAATAATTTTCAAATGTATGCGAAAACATATTTAGTCACATTTATTGTACTAATTTATAAACCAATTTTTAATTAATTAATATAAATTTATATATTGATTCAAAATTTTAATATCGAAAAAATATAATACTGATATCATTAATGAAATTATAATATAAAACGAATGAATTAATAAAACAATAGGATAATTTGTTGATTGAAGGATTTATTCTTCAAAACAAATTTTATGTGTCAGTAATGCATTCACGGAATTGTGCAAAGAAATTATTTAATTTTATATCAATGATTACATATAATTGCTCTTTTTATAATACATGATTATTTATAATACTTTATACTTTATAGAAGTGATTTTTTTTTAATTGAAATCTTTAACATAAAATGTGAAGAAAATTAGAAATTTGATTTAATGATACCTTTTATTAAGTTTTTCATTACATGAATGGAAGATACGCATAATGAAATGAAAACATCACATACATTAATTAAATTAAAAATTCTATTCAAACATGAAGGAATTTTTTATATTTAAAACTATCTTATAGAATTTTTTATCTTTACCACAGTAAAACTAAGAGAATATCGTTTATTTTAATAAACTAAGAACATTTTTTTTTTTCGTAATTTAATTTATTAATAAATTCTTTATATTTTAAATTAAATTATATGCATGCATTTTTTATATATCTATTTGATTTTGATTACAATAAAATTTTGATTACAAAATTTTTATTAAACAGATCATTTTTCTTAGTTTTATTGCAACAATATAATAATTTTTAGTAACATTTTTTTATAACATTAAATAAATAATACAGTAAATCTTATTTTCATTGTGGTAAACAATTTTACTACAATCAATTTATTAATTTCATTACAATAAGTATGTTTTCAAGTATACACAAAGTTATTTTTTAAATTATAATAATATGACATATTTTATTTCGATATTCGATTATATAATTCGATAGTAAAACTAAAACTAAATTTAAACAAATTAATTAGCAGAAAAATGGTACATGTATTTTAAAAATAATCAATATTACTTAATTTATGTTTTTCAACTGAAATTGAAAACAAATTTCTTAAAAAAAATTACATTTTTAAATATATAATAGGAAAATATCACTATAAAATAATTTTTTTAATTTTTAAAAAATATTGAAAAGTTTAATCTAAGTAACTGTAATGTAATAAAAATCATCTCAAAATTATTTAATAAAAAATATTTTTAAAATTAATTAATTAAATTATCATTGTAATGCATTTCTTAAATAAAATACTTATTTTTAATAATTATATATATTAAATTATATATTTTATGATATTTATCACATGCAGATTTTTGATTTTTAAATTTAAAAACAAATCATTTTTTTTAAGTGCCATTAAATAAAATTTTTTAAAATGATTTATAATATATCATTATAATATTCATTATAATGATATCAATAATTCAATAATGTCAATAATTATATAGAAATAGTAATATAAAAAAACTTACAACAAATTCAATAATATCAGAATTTAGTTATTTAAGGACTAATGTTAAATTAATTATAATACTAAAAAAAATCATTAATTCCAAAATTTTTATTTCTTAAAATTATTTTAATATTAAATTCTGAAATTTTAATTATTAAAAAATTCAAATCTTTTGTAAACTAATTTATTATTATACTGTTTAATTTATTATTTACTTATTTTCATAAATATAATTTAACATTTAACTTGTTTTAATTTATTTATATTTTATATAAATTTTTAGATTAGCATTTATCAACATTTACAAGAACAATACATATCAATTATAAATTGCATATTAAATTATAAATAAATAAAATAATTCATTCTAAAACAATAAAAATAATTGTTGCTAATTATAATTAATAGAATTATATTTAATAATACTTTATATAAAATTAAATGTGAAAACATATTTTGTTTTTAATATTTTTTATGATACATATAATTAGATATATATAATTTTGTATCATAGAAAAATTGATGAAAATATTTGAATAAGAAATATGTTAATAATAATAAACTTTAAAAATAATAGGAGATAAAATAAATACTATTTTTATAATATATGATTAATAAGTGCAACTTAAATACCTATAATTAGTAAAATTAGCTATTGTGCAATGAAATAATTATTTTAAAAAAGTATATGATAAATAAGTTGCATATTTATAAAATAGGAACATTGTTCTAAAAATGTTCTAAAAATATTGATCAGAATAGAAAGATAAGAATGAAATAAAAAAACTATAAGCTGTAAGAAACAATCTAATATTTATATGCAAATACAGGATGTATATCCATATAAATTCAAATTTATTATTTTTTAAACATTCTTAATAATTTTAATAAAAAAATGTTTTGAATAAATGTTAGTTATAGATTATAGATTAACTATATATATATATATTTTAATATTAAATATTTTTTAAAATTCAAAAATCATTGATTTTTTTTTAAATATCTCAAATTTTATGATATATATTTATTTTTTAATAATGATATTTAATATCTTATTTTCTATTAAATAAATTTAACATTCTTGAATTAAAAATCATTTGAAGATTATTGAACTTTCTATATCAGCTACAACTCTTTGAAATCAAAAACTATAATTATATCAAAAAAAAAATATTATTTATAAGTCTTTAATATTCAAATATATAAGCGATCAATAATTAATTTTTGTTCAAAACATTTTATTAGAATGCACAATAAAGTTTGCATATATTTACAGAACTTTCCAAAAACATGTGCATTTAAGTGACTTAATCAAGTAGTATTCTTGTAGTACTGTATTTGCGCATAAAGATTTCTAACAAGTATTTATATTACAAATAAATTAATTTCTATCTTTTTATATTACAAGAATTTTCATTTAAAGTCAATATACATATATTATTAATAAATAATTTCCATTATTAATATTTAATTTTTTTTCATATATGAATATAAATGAGTTATATTCTAATAATAAGAAAAAAAATATAATAAGAAAAAAAACAATTTCAATATTTAATTTTTAAATTAAAATTATAATTGCATTTTATTATGCAAATGTAAATTTTTATATAATAAAAAATAATTTTTTTTTTAAAGAAAAACAATTGTTATATATGTAATTTAAAATTATTTTTGTTTTTTCATCAAATTAAGTAATATTATGATACTATATCAAATAATATTTTTAGAACAAATAATAATTTTTAAAAATTAAATATTTTAATTAAAAATTAATAATAGTTAATTAAATACTTTAGGAATGTAATATTTCTATGAGGAATGTAAATTAGAACAAAAAAATTTTTCAAAAATGCATTAATTTTCTTGATACCTGAGAATTTTTGTAATAGTACGAGTTAAAGGAAAGCTTTCATTAAATTTACATGTATTATTCCAATCATCAACATTTAAGGATAATATCATTGCACCACCAAAGTTATTTGCTCGAATCCATTCAGCCTAAAACATAATATAATTTATTAGAATATTTCATATCATTTCAATTTTATAATTCTATATTAATTTTCTAATATTTAATTCTTTAAATTTTATTGGAATCTTTATTAATTATTAAAATCTTTA